ACCATCAGAGATGGCATGATTAAACGTTTGCGTATGTTTGGTAACTGATAACTTTTAGTACACTAGATCAACACGTCTGCGGTGAAATATGTGGTCCTTTTGTCCTTTGAAATGATAAGTGTGTATGTCGTCTGTCCGCACAGAAGCGCAGGTCAGTCCAAAGAGGAAACTTCTCAGCCTCCAGAGTCGGAGGACGGAGGTGAAGAGACCAAGAACTACACCAGCGTGGCCCCCACTATGTGGCTCGGGGCCCAGAACGGCTGGTAAGTGACTCATTCAGATCTACTCACAACTTCTGCTAAAGCCGCACAAAAATCACATATTGCAACCATTTCCTTACCCATAAGTTTATATATTTACTGTTTTCTTTTGCAATAAAACATCAGTCACACTCTGGATAGGAAGACTCTTTTTGTATCTTCCATCCAAGTAGCACACATAAATATCATGACATGCTTCTTTTGAACTCTATATGCAGTTTGGTTTTGCTCTGGAGTATCTTGCCTCTGTTCTCCCTCAAGGCTCTACGTCCACTCAGCAGTTGGAAACTGGAAGAAGTGCCTCCACTCCATCAAACTCAAAGACTCCGTGCTCAGTCTGGTGTAAGTGGTGCTGACAGTTAAACTCTGTAGTTGTAGTTTGGTCCGTGTGAACTTCTGTAACTGCAGCAGTCTCCTCTGTGATTGCAGACATGTGAAAGGTCGCGTGCTGGTTGCCCTCGCTGACGGGACCCTCGCCATATTCCATAGATCAGAGGGTATTTTGATTTTATATATTTGTTTAAGCGGAGTGCCCATACAACAAACTTCTAGTTGGTTCCTCGAACTAAGAAAAGCACAATTTAGGCTGAAATAGTGTGTTTTGTGTTGACATGAATGCAACTAGTGACTGTTGTAAAAGACAATTATAACTTTATTGGGGTGTTTTTGTCAACAGATGGCCAGTGGGATTTGTCCAACTACCACCTCATGGACCTCGGTCGGCCTCATCACTCAATCCGCTGCATGGCTGTAGTACATGATAAGGTTTGGTGCGGCTACAAGAACAAGATCCACGTAATCCAGCCCAAGAGCATGCAGATCGAGGTGAGTTAAGAATCCACCGTCACGTCATCCTGCTTAAAAATGACACCGACAATAACGTAAAACTGTAATAATGAGTTCTTCCACTCAACACATCATTCTTTCACGGCTCTCTAGAAGTCCTTCGACGCCCACCCTCGCAGGGAGAGTCAGGTGCGGCAGCTAGCGTGGATCGGCGATGGTGTTTGGGTGTCAATCCGGCTAGACTCGACACTGCGTCTCTACCATGCGCACACGCACCAGCACCTCCAGGATGTGGACATTGAGCCATACGTCAGCAAGATGCTGGGTGAGAATCCGTGGACACTTGCTGGTGTTGTTTTCTCACCGACATGCAGCCGGCCCTGTTCTCCATTCACTTTGGTTGTAATTCACAGGCACTGGCAAGCTGGGCTTCTCTTTTGTGCGAATCACAGCACTTCTGATTGGTGGAAATCGCCTCTGGGTAGGAACTGGAAACGGCGTGATCATCTCCATCCCACTGACAGAGAGTGAGTTTAATTTACACGGCTCACAACAAGTGACTCGCAACAAAACGTGTGTCATGAGCTTTGTTTCAAATACAGATAGAAACGGTGAAAGCAGTGCCTGTGTGGTGGCAGAGGAAGGGAAGCTACAAGCACAACATTTGAGGAGTGATCAGCAGTGATTAGCAGTCTCATCGAAACATTAAGCTTTCAGTGGTCTTAAAATCTTCATGACACAGTGTTGGTTACCTCTGCTGAGGAGGTTATTTTGTGGTAAGATGTGTTTGTCCATCTGGATGTTACTAATCTCACGATATTGGGATTTTTTGGTGTTGATCTGAATCCAGCAGCACCATCATGTGGTCACATTATGGATTAAAACCGCTAAACCATGAGATGTAGAGAACATTGTTTTCCTGGATGCCTTAGTTCCATACAAAAAGGCCATGACTTTACTATTTATTTATTTTTTCAGATCTTAAATTCAGCTGATGTGCTGACCTTCAGACACTGCAGAAACTAACAGCAGCTCACATGTTATCAGATTGTATCATTCGGTAGTTATACGGATCAGAAAGGAGGTAACTTTCCCCACATACTGCGCTGCTGTTTATCCGTGTTCCTCTTCAACTCCCTCAACTTTCTTTCCACCTTCTGTTTTCCTGCCTCTCCTCAGTGGCTTCTCCTCTTTCACAGACAGTCTTGGTCATAACTGTTACTGTCCTCTTTCTTCTCTGCTCTCCCCACTCCTCTTCTTCCTCCTCTTCTTTCTTTGCCTCCGCCTCCTGTAGCGGTGGTCCTTCACCGGGGACAGCTCCTTGGTTTGAGGGGTAAGTGGGAGCACTCCCTTCCTCCTGCTGTTGTGATCTACCTTTTCTTGCCCGGTCAAACCTTAATGTCCCCTCCAACGGTGTCTGCAGAGCAAAGCTACCTGTTATGCTTACTTAAATGTGAACACCATTGAATATCAGGCACTCAGTTAGTCCTTTTTGAGCTGTGAACAAAGTCACCAAACGTATTCTATGTGCAATTATTTGTCTTTTTACTGCAGCAGGGCTTTTACTCATTGGTTGCTTTGCATGTTATTATTCATTGTGCTTTACTGCATCAATGACTAAAATATATGTTTGTGTGTACCAGATCCATTGCATGCAAAATATATGCTTTAGGTGTCTCAAATCTATTTTTTTGTAATATTCTAATATCACTTCTCATTTTCAGTTGATCTGTGGAAATATATGGATCTTGTGGGTGTTTATTATTATTTATTTTTTTACCTGTGTCATGCTACCGAATATGATTTGCTATTTAAAAACTCTTGGTTGGTTAGTTATTCACTCCTGGGTTCTTCATCCCTCAGCCAATAAGGTGTCTCCTACATCGTCCAGTGGAGTGATCCACGTGTACGGTGACGACGGCTCTGAGAAGAGCACCGGCAGCTTCATCCCCTACTGCTCCATGGCACAAGCCCAGCTCTGTTTTCATGGACACCGCGATGCTGTCAAGTTCTTCGTCTCTGTACCCGGTAAGCACAAAGCCCGTCTGTGTCTGTCTGTAACTGACCACATTCACTCTTTTTCGACATATACTATGACATTATTTTGAGACAAAAAAAGTTTTATCGCCGTAACTCAAGTAATCACATGGGATTGTCACACAAATATCTGTTAAAATGATGAAGTGATGGCATTTTGGACAAATCGGATGTAAACCCTAACTTGGCATTTTTCTTCTGTGTGACAGGCAATGTTCTGGCCACACTGAACGGCAGTGTGCTGGACAGTCCGTCGGAGGGTGAGGGGTCAACAGCGCCCCAAGAGACGGAGGCCCAGAGTGTTCACAACGTGTTGGTGCTGAGTGGAGGAGAGGGCTACATCGACTTCCGTATAGGTTAGCATATTTCCTGATGTTTTATACAAATGCAAGCCTGTATGTTGTAATGTTGTTTAGAAGAATACATTAAAATATTATCCGCACAATAAAGTTAAGTGTTCCTTGTAATAATCACAGCGCTTACATCTTCTGTCTACGTGTTTTCCTCAGGAGACGGAGAGGACGATGAGACGGAGGAAGGCGACACTGGTGGAACTTCGCAGATCAAACCTGCTTTGTGTAAAGCTGAGCGAAGCCACATCATCGTCTGGCAGGTGTCTTACATACCTGAGTGACACCTGGATTTGCTTTAACCCCCACACCCACTCATCTCCTTAAAAAAATCTCTTCCTGCCCCCAAAAGCTTCCAGCCACCCACACCTTGTAATTATCCCTGGCCATGTAAAAGTCCCCTCTTGGCTCTGAAAACGACCCTTAAAGCCATGTATCGTCCCTTGTAACTATTATATCCCCTCCTGCCCCGTCCCCTTGTAACTTTAATGCCTTGTAAGTACCTCCTCTGATCTAGTGACCTGCCTGCCATCCTGTTTCTGTCCCACCCAGGGCATTGTAACTATCTTCATGAGCCTTGTAACCCAGCCTCATAACTACCTCCCTCCTCTGTATCGCTCTTATATTCACCCTGTAAGCACACTGTATCTCTTCCCATATTTACCTCGATTGTCCTGCATCTGCCCCAGAGTTACTCCTCTTCTTCCTCCACTTAGTTTGTCAGCTGTGAGGCCTCCAGCTCATCTTATTGCAAAGCCCAGAGCCCCAACATTATTGTACCAATAACAAAAAGAATCAAGAACACAGGTGCAGAAATAGGAATGAAAACACTGACTTGCATCTCCACCAGAAATCAGATTTTTCTAACCGCTTATCAGCAATCCATGATTGTTAATGCCATCGTATGTTTAAATGGATTTAACGGATGAGGTGTTCACGGATTGACAGTCTTTGACGGTGTGTGAGAGAGTGGAAACAAATCCAAGGAGACGGCGTACAGAAGTCTTGTTGTGGCTGTAACATTGTAGTGTATAGCAAACGGGTTTACAACGGCATGGAACGAATGGAAAGTCTAAATTTAGTTTGGGCTTTTTTGGCTGTTACCCTCAAATATTTTGCATCTAATCTTGTCTATTTAAAGAAGCTCGATTAATGATTTTCTACCCTGATGAAAACAAAAACCCTCATGAGGATGTAATGACTTTGTGTGGTAAAGACAGGAAACATCTGGTGCCTGATGTGAATCAAAGAGTCATGTGAACAATTGGAAAACCAGTGGAAGGGGTTTTGTTTAATGGTTCGGTCCGAGACTCGTATCTCTCATCTGACTGGCTGTAGATCAGACGGTTCGTTGTAAAGCAGGTGAACAGTGATGTGGTGTCATTATGTGTACAGGGATTATTGTAAAAGTCCAGACACACTGAAGCCCATCCTCTTTGTTCAGTATGAACTTCATGCATTGATCTCTATCTGTGTGGATTAAATATTAAACATATTTGTGTGCTGAAAAAAACCTACAGTTGTCTTACTTTACAAAACACAAACAAAACATATTAAAAAGGATTTCCTGACCAGATTTATTGTTTGACAATTCATACAGCATCATGGGATTTTAGAAAAGCACAAATTACAATTTTATAGAACAAAATAAACGAGCCTTTGGAATCGCCACGAAAACCTGTTGAGCATCTTATTTTAAAACGTCTACCCTTTACGTTCAAGTATTCCTGTGAAGTGATCCGGTTCACACCCTGACAGAATTAATATTTAAAAGTGCAGGAAACTGGACCGTGTGTGTAGAAAGGCAATAATGGTGTTAGTTGATTGCTCTCATTGGAAGTACGATTACAGGAGAAACGTGTATATTTTGACGGATCTTTCACCATAACAAGAAAAAACATGTGTGCAAAACACATTGAGGTGGTAAACAATGGTTATGTAACTTAAAATACTTTGCACATCACCTGAATATTCATGGGTATTAAAGCTTCCTGTAGAAATGAACCTTCAGGGTTTATTTAAATGCGGCCGTTCCCTGATGTGTGATCCCTCGATGATCATGAACTACAAGCTTATTGCTTGAAAACTGTAAACAAGCTTCTGGACTAAAAGACTACAATGAAAACTGTAACAGAAGCACACCGTCATGTTACTGATAAAGTTATTGCTCACCTCAGTTCAGAGAGATAAAAAATACATTTTATGAAAAAGAAAATCTAGGGAACAATTGCATCTCTACAAGATATTAAAGCCAAAGACGACTGTATCTGAGGTGTGATCCGTCTTGTAATGACATCAGGATGGAGGACACACAGCTGGTGTGGACCGTCAGTCGTAGATCCAGTGGCTGCTGCTGTCCTCCCAGCAGTGAAGCTCGTCCTGTCTAAACCACAGAGAGATTTCCTTCTGGGCGCTCGGCACCGAGTCGCTGCCGTGGATCACGTTCCTGCAGCACATGACCGTTTTATGAACCATTATAGTTATACTTTTTCGGTATACTATACTATGACTTTTTTTTACACACATGGAGTGGGGCTCTTGAATATAATGCTGCCACCATACATTTTATTGGTCGCAACTGTTTTTTTCTACTATGACAAGTAAAAATGCCTCCTGTAAATAAAGGCCTCACATTTTCCCTCAGAGGAGAAGTGAACTATCAGGTGATCCTACCTGCCCACTTCCACACAGAAATCCCCTCGGATGGTTCCAGGCAGCGAGTCAGCAGGTTTGGTCTCTCCCAACATCTTACGTGCAGTCTTGACTACGTCCAAACCCTCCCACACCTGAACAAACACAGGAACGTACATGACTACAGCATGCAGAAACAAAGATATCCTGTACACCATGACTTATGTGAGTTATGAGCAAAAACCAAACGCCCTCTGAACACGTGTACAGTATGTGGGAGAATGTCACCATTACTACGATTGGTCCAGAGCTCATGTAGCTCATCAGTCCCTGGAAGAAGGGCTTACTCCTCAGGTCCCAGTAGTGTTCCCTCAGAACATCCTCAGACGCCTGACCACACACAAGACAGACACGTATTCAACTAAAATACAAAACTACTTTGGTAAATATTGTCTCAAGAGAAGATAAAAGGCCTACATCCCAAATACCTGCACCAGTTTGAGGCCGACCAGTTTGAAGCCTCTCTTCTCAAAGCGACGCAGGATTTCTCCCACCAGTTTACGCTGCACGCCATCTGGTTTAACGGCAATAAAGGTGCGCTCGTTCACACCGGACCAGCCTAGAGGATCGGGAATAACACCCGACAACGATGAAGGTAAAATCAACAAGTGTTTACCGTGAACAACGACGGCCACCACTCGCAACCTAGAGCAGCGTGCATGCGTCTGGGTACAGACTGGAGGAAGCAGCATCGTTCACGCACAAGTTTTGACTTCACAAAAGCTACATGCAGCTCCAGAAATGTTTTAGGAGTGATTATTAGATTCACAAATATCACTTTCAGGTCTCTCGCTGTGACCTTTTTCTCAGCACCATTGCAGTGCAAAAAAAAATAAAAATAAAGAGAAATTTTGAGATAGAAAGTCGAAATTATAAGATACTTTAACACAACAGTGGTAGAAGCAGGTCTTCATAGGTTACCCTACATTTGACATACAAATGTACTGTGTGTACATTGAAGACTACTTTAAACGTGGCTTTACAACACATGAAATACTTCACATGGATTGTACTCAGCAAACGCACCCTTGAAAGGATTTTCAGCAAGAAGCAGCTCTGGAGTAGAAAGAATAAAACCGATGTGGCTGAGGTGGCAACCTTCATTGAACAGCAACTGGAAACATCTGGTCAGTGTCATGGTTACAGATGGATGCAGCAAAAGTGTTGGTGCATTTTTTATTTAATTTTTTTTTTTTTTTGAACAAAAAACAAAAACTTAAATGTTCATGTATTTATTGTTTAACTGGAAAAAAAAAAGAATTTAAAAAAAAAAGGAAAAACTTTTTTTTTTTGCTGTCAGAAATGGGCTTCCATACATATCAGCTCTCACGCGATCCACGTGAATCCCACCGCCAGCAGGAGCTATTAATAGAATGATGAATCAACGTATTTCACAGTGACGAGGATGACGCTGCTGGTAGTGAGACTAAGTAGCCGCTATGAGCACGTGATACATACATTTGCAAACTAAAGTTAGCCAACTGTAGATCGACCCACACAGTCAATCATCCAACTCCAAAGCCGAGCGACTCTAACGTTACACACAATAAGTTACAGCACCTGTGTAGAAGTTACTGAACTGTTCGTGACACCATTGTTTCAACGGTTAACTCCTCCTTCTAGCTCGAGCCGAGGCGAACGGTAGCATCTCCTGCTCACACAGACCGGAAACTGAGAAAGTCAAACTTCAACAATAGTGAATGACACGCGGAGTACAAACGGATTCAACACCAACCTGAAGTTAAGAAGTGAGAGAATATGGACAAAATCAGGCAGATCATTGTCGCCGGTTGGACGGAGTGACGTCACACTGGAAGGAGTAGGAGGGAGGGATGAAGACGCGCGCACCCACGTTTCGGAATGCTTCCCAAAGCGCGTGACCGTGGAAGTTAATTTCCGCCGGTTGAACAAAAAGTTAGAAATTATAAATTTATATGGTGGAAGAAAATAAAGAACACTACTCAGGACTATTTTAAATGTTAGTGTAATATAATATTCAGTTATTCTGGCAGATTATATTTATTCTCAAATTGTGATTATGATAAAGCCAATATGACATAAAAGCAGCATCTAATCAAGCAAAATAACATTAAACTTTAGCCTGCGTGGTCAATGGTGGAGTCTTCTGCTACTTCTTTCTCTGATAGTATAAAAAAAAAGTGATTTCAAGGTGTCAAAGTATGAGGCACGGTGCACCCAGTCATGTTTAATGTGCTGTAATCACCTTAGTGAAGTGCTCTGTGAGGTAGTCTATAACGCATCACCAACAAAACCAATGATAGCAGCAATGTTTTATCTTAAATTTAATATTTACCACATTGCACAGATACATATCACACTCGGAGAGGCCAGCTTCAGAGAAGTCATTTGAGTCCAGGACATATCGGGACATTGAGGTGATTCCAGTGTACTCGCACAGAAGAAGTTACAGCTTCCATCGACACTGATTTTGTCCAAAACATCCCAAGAATTTCCTCTTCAGAACCACGAGCATCACACCGCTGTCCCCTCCGTCCTCTGCGTCTCTTGCTCCTGCCTGCGGAAATAGTCTTTGTTGAGCAGGACGTCCCTCTTTAGAGGCAAGACCGGCTCCTCGGCCACTACGCTGCCCACTGCCTTCTTGTGCTGGGCCAGCAGCATGGCGCGGAGCAGAGGAGGGTAAGGGACGTAGCGCACGGGCAGCTTGGGGAGTGGCTCAAAGTCCTTCATCTGCTGCTCCATGCGTTTGGGAACCAGGCGCCAGTCGTGGTACATCACCTTGTCCAGCTCCTTGACCTCGCTCTCCTGTTTTCCTGCAAAGCACAAAAATGCAACAAGCTGTTTGTTTGAGTGTAACATCAAAGGGTGACATCACATCAGTGTCCTCAACGGTGGTTACAGTTTAATTTAAGTCAAATAAACGGGGTACAATCTTACCTTTGAGGGTGAGGATCCCCCATGCTTTGCCATGATCCATGTTCTAGAAAACACAGGAATCAGGTGTTACACGTGTATCCTAACAGACCTCATGACAAACTAAACTGCGCTCACTTCTACACTTGGGATGACAACATGCAGACCAGAATCTTGGATGTGGCCCTTTCTCACCTCAGCGGTGTAGTCCACCTTGACCTTAGTGATCTGCCAGTAGCTGGGCTCGGTGTGCTCCTCCAGCCAGGACTTGCGGGTGAAGAGGCGGCCCATTCCGAACAGCCTCATGCCCGCCAGCAGGGAGAAGAGGCGACTCTCCCTGCGGACATCCTGCCAGGCCAGCACGGGCAGCATCTTCCCCGTGTGAGGCCGCTTCATCGTCTCGTAGTCCAGGGCGTATTTCTGGGACTCCCGCGGCCGGGACTTCAGCTCTCGGTACGCCCGGATCTTCCGAGCCATTTCTGCGATGAGACGAAGTCGCCTTTTCTTCACCATGACTGCCTGACGTGCAGCAGCTCGCGTTACTCCACAATACTCCCGGATAAACACCGGTTAACGTTTGTCCTGCAGGAGGGTAAAGTGAGTTATTTACGTCTGAGCGGAGCAGCTCTTTAAACTCAGATATCAGCCATTAAAAGTACCTGAACGTCCCTGACGAGAAGCACCAGCGCAACTTGACCTCCGCAAGCAAAGCACACAACTTCCGCTCATTTGGTCCGACAGCGGAAAGTTCCCCTGTAAACTGTAACTGCACATTTTAGTTCCGCATTAGTCAAATCAAGTAGAAGACCTCTCAGTTAGCACATGATGGAATAATATAATAAGTGTTAATTCATAAGACAAGAATGGGTATTAATAAAGATTTTCTGCACACATTCTAAATAAATACATATTATACCTAATCAGTGTTCAGTCATCTTTTTACTGGTGGTCTTTACCTTTGTACAGATTTAGATATTTTTTCTTCAAATATTTAAAATGTATATGGACTACAGGTGGGATTTTGGGGGACTCGTTAAGGAAAGTGTGTTTATAACTGTTTAAAGAACTTTCTGAGTATTTCCATGTTAATCTGAAACTGAAACGTTTTCTCGTTTTGTTTTATTTTGACCACAATAGAAGTTGTCATTTATTTCACTTTAGGAAATGTTCTATTCATAGAGCAAAATGGTCAAATTCCATAACGTTTTTCTCTTTATTGAAGTGTTACTTTTGCCCCAGTTCAGACCTTTGAATCCATCCACTCCAGTGATATCAGGCACGCGTTATATTTTATGTAAAATGAAAAGACAAAAAAAGACTTCCAAACTGAAACATCTTCAAATGTCCTAGGTGCCGGTTTTCTTGCTAATAAATAAACACATCCAGTATTTTTTTTGCATATTTAGTATTCATTTATTTTCAGCTGAAAATCATGCTGATAAGTTATACAGAAAAAGGTGAGTAAAGGCCTTCACATATAGAATTATTAATATGACACGGTATAGAAGAAACACTAAGAATTTTACCTATTTACAGTACAACAGTAAGAAAAAGTGCTTGGATGCATCAAAGTGAAGACAAATGCAGTGAAATAAGACAAATACATCTGCTGGACTACAACTAATCTCTTATATTACTAGATATTTAGGGATAATTCTGATCAATCATTACACAACTGGACAGGATTAAGTGCGTCATGTCACACTACTCATGACTAATTATCACGGTGCTCTGGTACCTTCACCACTAATGTTGTGTGTGTCCATCTTAACGTCTTAAAACACACATTCCTTCTGCTTTTATTGCATAGTACCAGAAATCATTGTGCACGTCTACTTGAACCAAGACCCTTGAGGAGCGAACATGATCGGAGACAGGTGACTGAGGCAGCAGTTGGCAGACTGTATAGCTTCAACGCCTGGGTCAAACTCCATCTTTATACTTCTATTGTTATAGTTTTACACACCTGACCCAGAGGTAATGTTCCCCTTCTCGGTCATTCATGATCCAGCAATACTCGAGTTGGAATCTAATTCTTACAAAATAAGCAACTTTTTAGAGCCAGCTATTAGTCCAACAAAGGATGTGAGTGTTTGATACTAAAATCATTTAGAATAAAGTACAATTAACTACAGTCAAGAGGAGTTGGTACAGGAAGTGATGGGACAATGCTTTGGGAAAACCAAAATAACACACTTGCATAAACAGATCAGTTAAAAAAAAACACTAAAACTGCTCATAATCTCATATTTTGTCAATCAAAGAAACTAACTTTTTTTTAAAGTTCTAAAAAACAATAAGATATACCAGCGATTAAAAGTTACTTTACATGTGCGGCAGTCTCTTCAGAGTGTCATCCTAGTCTCATGATCAGATTTAAAAGAGCTACACTAAATAACAAGGACACACTGCGGACATCTTTTAGGAAAGAGGAAACCCTTCTACAAACAAGTGGCATACATACATCAACAGGAGACTTTCAAAAAGTGTTTGGAGATGATGGCTGGAATATTTTCATTTTTGGAGCACTTAAAGATGCAAACTACATTCAGGCTCACTTCAACTCCTTGTAACAAGTTTTTTGATCTGTCTTAAAACGTTTTTTGCCTTAGAGCTGTAACCTCTGGGTAACAAATAAAGAATACTCTCTGACCTATGGGGTGTCTCTTCATATCTCTCTTTCACTCTAAGACACAGACTCAATGTCTCACTTTGGCAACCCAACAGAAAATTGCAGATGCCAGTAAAACATGTAACATATTACTTTGATAATGCATCAATGGTATTAAGGTTGAGAACAATATACAGTATTTGCATACAGGTTGAAAACACAGAAAATATATAAAAGGGATGCACCAATGTTTCAGTCCCAATACGGGCACCGATACCTGGGCTTTGGGTAACAGTAGATACAGAGCACCGATACAGAGCAACGATACAGAGCACCGATACAGAGCAACGATACAGAGCAACGATACAGAGCAACGATACAGAGCAACGATACAGAGCAACGATACAATACTTGTGTTTAATTAATAAGCTCTATGCCTCAGTGTGTGGAAATGACTGGGATCATTCTTTTATGTGTAAGGAAACATCAGGAAACATTGTTTTACTAACTTTGTAAAACAAAATGTAACAAATAAATACATAGATATAATTTACTGAATTGGTGTATATTATTAAAATAACAAATCCTACGCCAGCAACTTCGTAAAATATCTTCAAAGTTATCAGAATTACAATTCATGAGTAAACCTGTTTAAATGCAGCAACAACTTTAACAGGAATTGAAATTCCAGTATATAAAGTATATAGTCTGTAAACATAATTGATTAATATAATTGAATAGATCCAATATCGGCCCGATATCAGTATCAGTGCATCCCTAAAATATACAGTCTCTCATTTTTTCAACCCACTTTTTGCAAATGTACTATGATGACCATCAAAATATGGCCTTACTTGACTTCAGTGTTACACTGTTCAGTCCGTTTCTGCATCATTTCGCTACTCGCCTACATGAACGGCAACAAATTATGGTGACTAACATAATAACACCGCACATCTGTACTTATTACTGAAGCTGGTTTGGATACTGAATGTATGACGAGCATGAACATATCTGAAGAGAAGATCACAGTAAAGCATGTCGTCACAGTTTTCCACTTACGTACCGCTCCGATCCTGGTTTATTTTCTTCGCCACTGGATAATATTGATGTTGAGGAACGCTTGAAGCAGGTAGGAAACACTAGATCAGAGGCCTCAGGACATTAACGTCTGCCAGTGATGGTTTGAGTCGAGCTGGGCAGTCACGTCCAGCGGCATCTCTTCCTCTGACAGGCTTCGGGGTCAGATGGGCAACCCTCCGAGTCACTCTCACAGGAGGACGGTCCAGCCAAGGGGGGGGCAGGCGAGCCCGAGGGTCGCTCGGGCCCATCTGGGGTTTCCTCTGTGGTGCCACTATTGAGACTGAGCACCCAACCCAGTTTGTTGTGGAGCAACTGGCGAAGGCCCGGCGGCAGCGGCAACACGTCCAGGGTGTCTATACAGTCCGGCATCAGCTGGCGAAGGCGAGCGCAGCAAAGGTACAGCAGGGAGGTGGGCGCAGAGCACGATCGGATCACCTTCATGCTGCTCTTCGCTGCAGTGGAGCACGCCATCGGATAAAACTTCTTATTTTGGAGCTCCGTGGTAGCAACACCTACATCGAGAATGGTGACAAAACATTTCATGTTCATGTGTAATATCTTGTTACAATACTACATAAGTAAGTAAGTATTTATCACTTATGGTATGTGTGTATGTTGATACTAACCTATACACTTGCGGTTTTTGAAAAAAGTGAGTGTGCCGTGCCACGTGTCCAGATGGATCCCGATGATGGATCCCTGTCCAAACCGGGAGGAGAAGTTCATTTTGTCTCCTTTATGATGCAACAATCCTGACAAAAGGAGGACAACCACTGACGTTAAACTCATACAAACCCCACTGTAAGATGTTACTGCTGCATCACAGCACGTTGTGTTGGTCTTACCAGTGTAAGAAAGACCCCAGCTGTCTGCATCTTTTCCCAACAGGCTGCAGAACGAGTGTCTGTATTTGTCGAGGTTGACATCGAAAGTACCGATGCCGACCATCTGCACAGATACAAACAAGAATTTATGTTTGGATCTCTTTAGGAAGCGTTGCATACTACCAGCAGGTCAGTGAAGGCGTAGAGGTTTACCATGTCTGTTCCATACACTGGAGACGTCATCTTGATCTCCCAGAAGTGCTGCCCTTCAGCCAGCTCTTTGGAGCCACGGATTGCTGCCGTGCCACAGCTGTATTCAGAGTGGAAGTTCACTTTTTGATTGTCGCAGCTCAGTAATGTTGCCGTCGATTGGCTGTTGCCGTCCCAAACCCAGTCAAACTCTGAAACATCAGAAGTCATTCGGTCATTCATGGCCAAAGAGACAAGAAATTGAATATTTTTTTGGCCATTGATATGCAGGAGCTGTCTTGTACCTTGGTCGTCCTCGCCACAGTGGCAGTCTTTAACTTGGTGAAAGCCTCGCAGACGAGGGTTGTAGTTGGTCTCAGCCTGGGAGTCGCAGCCACAGTAGGACTCTCCGGTGACGGGCACTGCACTGGGGACTGGAGGGACCATCACTGCCGAAAAGTCTGCCTCAGAATCGGAATCACTGTACTGGGGAGCAGCAATGCAGAGAGAAACAACTCATTCAAACGCCAGCAGCATTGCTTATGTAACAGCACAACACTGGTTTAGATGTTGGGCTGCTACAAAGACAAAATTGGGCACTGCATTGGAAAATGTACCTCTGAGTTTTATCAACATCTAAAATGTAATAGTGAAATGCAGATATTATAATGCTTTCCTTAAACCTAATCTCCAACCAAAAACACTCCGTTTACAGTGGCCAAAGGCACATTAGAGGCTTTAAGTCTGACAGTGATAGCTGAGGTCACTTTTTTGTTGTCTTCTCATGGTGATGATGACACATCCTGTCTCCTGCCTGGGGTGAAACAAGTGGCATCATATGACACAAACAAAAACTCCTGTGTCCACTGATGCTTCGAAATCTGTTCAGAGCTTCAGGTCCAATGGGGAAAACAGCAGCCCTTGTATGCTTACCTCTAAACGGTCATGGCTCCATTCTTCAAGTGCACGGGCGTCAGCATCCCTTCGTATCCCACCCCAAACATATCTCCACGCACGACTGTTCCTGCTGTGCCTGGACATGGCAGCAACAGTGTCTCACCAGTAGAAGAGCCCGCCTAGTCAGCTCAGGTTCAGTCCAGATGCTGGAGGAAGAGCATCAATCCAGATGCTGAGAAATAAATTGACAACATGTGATAATCTTGAGAGGCACAGACACTGAAGTCCCTCTGGCAATTAATGCTTGTAGCTTTGTGCATTGCATAATTTATATAATTTAGTTCTTTATTGATGCTGCTATCCTGATGTCTTATCTCAACACTAACATGTGCTTCCGTTACAGCTTTACAGTTTAGAGTTGGTGGGGCACATTGACGGGTAACTAATTACACACATATCATCCTACCTACTTAATTTAACACTAAATAGCTGGTAGCAGTCTTCTGCTTGACCGCAGATAATTGTCATCATCAGCAAAACTATTAGTCTTTTAACGTGAGATGTTGTTCTTCCTAACTAGCGTCAGTTAGCCACCTAGCGGTAGCAGCTAACGCTAGCCCTACACAGAATTTAGCCCGTTGACCCGCGGATGCATTAACAATATTAGCAGGCTGTAACAAGGTCAGATACGTATCAATTCAACCCAGACAGCCGGTTGAAAGTATAGCTTATTACACAGGCAGATGTCGGTTACTACACGGTTTATTAGCCATGTATTAAGAGAAGAGGTGACCGGGCTGGTGATGCAGATTCAGACCTAGCGTAAACTAGCTAGTTAGCGTTCGTTAGCTGCGTGTTAGCGTAAACTAGCTAGTTAGCGTTCGTTAGATGCGTGCTGCTATCAGCGCGAGAGAAAACCGTTAACGTTACCTGCCTTGTTCACCACAGAGACGTTGTTCCTCGAAGCCACTTATTACTAGAGAGCTAACACACGACAGCGGAGTGAGCGGGGAGCAAAGCTTCCTGTTTACCATGACCTACTTTACATCAGTCTGACCGTAAACAATAACAGTGAGACGGGCTCTCGGCAGGAGCCCACTGTCTCCAACAGGACGTTTATTCGTGCACAGAAAATACTCCTGTTGTATTAGCCTAGAGAGGAACGAGTAGTGTTAGTCAGTGGAGACGTTTAGAGGTTATTTAACTAAAAGTAAAAGCACAACATGATACAAAATACTGCAAACAATGTACCAGTAGTATAAGTATTGCCCTCTTTCAGTGTTGTATATATTAAATGGAGGAAGAAGTATCCAGAATTTTACAATTTATTTCAGTAAGTAGCAATACCACAAACCATAACAATACTCAACCTAAATTAAAAATGTTACAGAAGTGTTACAAAAATCAAATGTTCTGAAAGGATAGCCTCACAATTTTTCCCAATTCTGCCTAAAAACAAGAGTCAGTCACCTCTATGGACATGGCTGTAATAATTCCTCCTGTTCAGACCTGCTATTAAAAGGTCCCTTTTATGTGAGTGATGGGGACAAAATCCACATTCCTCATTTTGTGGTTTGTTAAATGTGCATATATATATATATATATATATATATACACGCAATGAAAATGAGCTGGCAAATGTATTCAGGGCACCAATAAGACTGTCTGGAAGCTCTCACAAGAGTTGTCTGCAGATAGGAATGAAAAAAAAAGTACATTCACCACAAACAATGAATTATGCATGTGCCCGTTTTAGGAGAAATTCATGTCCACTTCAGGATTAGATGAAATACCTTGTGTGAACCTTTCACTTTTCATCTAGCCATCCATCAATTTAATTAACCGTTTATTACTAAATTTCCCTTTTTCAATTAAATGCTGACAGGTGCTTGTGACTCTGAAAAGCCTTAAAGACGTCGACGCTGCAAGTTAAGTCATTCAATTAACATCAGAAAAAAAAAAAAAAAGGCTTGACGCTGATGTTCTGGAGGTTGAGTTTTATTTGGAAATCCGACAGGCATGGCTGAACAGTGAGCTCTCACCTTAAACAAAACAAACAAAAAAAACCAAGACAGCAGCACTACAGGTAAACGATACTAGTGTTGGAGAATGTCATATTAAACATAAAGACTTGCACACACATATTATGCACTCAGGTCATTCACTGACACGCACGCACACACACACACACTGTCAACTCCATGTCAACATCCTCCATTAATAATCACACTACATCCAGAGGAATTCCAAGCACTTAGAACAATTACCCACAGTGCAATGAATCTAACTATACACAGATAATTTATATATTTTATGTATATAGGGTATTCAATAAACAGTATTCCATTTAGACAGTTTCATTAAGTCAAAATCTTCATAACTTTCCATAAATAGTGAAAAATAAAATAAAATGTATTGACAGCTCCTCACCATTGTGATTCAACAAAGGTCCCCGAAAAGAACATGGAAACATAAAATACTAGTGTGCATGATTCTTCAGCAGTCTCCAAACGGAGAAGGACGATCAAAATCACCAACAGAAAACAATAATCAAAAGGAGGGGAATGAGCAGAGGGATAAACGTTGATACTCACACTCACAGCACAGACTGGTTACTACATTTACAGAAGTGGAGGGACTCTGGTTCACTGTACAGGTTAAGATCAGACAACAAATCAAGCAGACTGTCCACACATCATCCCACAACAACCAATACATGCCTGTTCAGTACTCATGAGACCTGACACAACTGCATGGCTTTAAACAATATGATCACATCTACGGAGGACATGTTTCTGTCGCCATCCCATTCTGTCAGACCCACGGGGTGTAATGGAAGTATGGTGAAAATCTCCTGTTTGTTCTTGCTGCTTCGATGTGGAATGAATGAGATGGTGTTTGATGCGGACATTTATTTTGTAGATAGGATGAGAGCCACGATGAGACCGTAAAGCCCCAGCACCTCAGCGAAGATCAGGATCAGGATCATGCCCACGAAAAGCCGGGGCTGCTGGGCGGTGCCTCGCACTCCGGCGTCGCCCACGATGCCGATGGCGAACCCGGCCGCCAGACCGCTCAGGCCCACGCTCAGACCGGCACCGAGATGCAGGAAGCTCCTGTTGGAAAGAAACAAAATGCAAAAGGTAATACCGTCTGAAACGTATGATCACATATTTCTTTTTTGGCCGACGGTGTGTCAGGACCTTGAGGCAGCAGCTGAAGTTGCAATAAACATAATCCTCAACAAAAGATGTGACCCATGGCCAGATTATTATAGGATGTAAAAATGCAGCGCAGTGAGGTTAAGGACATTTTATACACGAGACGTGAGTCAGTCGTTACTCTGTTTGTCACCGATAGGAGAGACTTCGGTCTGCAGTGTAGTTCATAAACTTCAATGATAAACCAGAGAATTGTAGAGTAACAATGGACTTCATGATCACAGAAAGTTCTCTTATAAAACTGTTTCAGAAAACAAGTTCTGAGCAGTTAGCTGTTCACTAACTCGCAGCATAACTCTACTAAGAGCCAGACATAGTCAATTTTGTATGTGTACAGATTGTAAAGCCCTCTGAGGCAATTTACACAAATAACAATCAGCAATAATACACACTTTAAATGTAAAACGGCAAACTGTTGTAATGGACTACGTTATCAGAGGTTCGTCTTACTTGTAGAGGGTGACTCTCTCAGAGATGTTGTTGGCTATCAGCACAGCCACCACCAGCCCGTAGATGGCGATGATACCAGCCATGACCACGGGGATGATGGACTTCATGATGAGCTCTGGCCGCATCACAGACATGGCAGCGATGCCCGTGCCGCTCTTCGCCGTCCCATACGCTGCTCCTAACGCTGTGTGAGAGAGGAGAGACTTCCTGTTAATTCAGTTTAGTGTTTATTCTTCACTTACAAACGATTCCAGATAAAAACAACTCAAACCAGACGAGATATGGATTCGGATGAGGCTGGGTGAGATTAATAAACCCAGACAAATCGATTTCAGACCTGACGTGCAGGTAACAGAGGAAATGAAACAGCAGAAGATATTCGACTGACAGTTTTCTCCCACCCAGCCATATATAACTGACCAATTATATATATAATTCATTTTTAAAAAGAAGTACTGCCAAATCACACTAGTGCACCTATTTTTAAAGTTTCCTCACAAACCTCTGAAACACGTTTAAAAAGGGATTAATCGTTGTACTCTGGAGCCGTGATAACACATAAACCTCACCCACTTGACTACTTTATACTTCTCTTTGCTTCCCTTTCTGCTCTGCCGTCACCTCACGTCTCACTGATATCTGCTCGTCACATATTTGTAATCACGCTGCACATCACTGGTCACAGTGTATGTTGACTTTGTTCAGTATACCTGTTCAATCTGAAACACTACAGTAGCCCCGCCTTTTCTTTTTTCTCTATACTCTATTGTTTTTGATTCCAAGTTCCCTTTTTGAAGTTTCTGTTATCTGCTCTTTGTCATCTTGCTGTCTGTTTACAATTATACGCAATTTAACCATTTAGTATAGAAGGACTTTGTATAATGTATTAGCTGCCTCCCATGAGCTCTTGTATTTTACGTCTTGTACAGTGTTGTAATTGTGCAAACAAATACAGACTAGAAGACTGAAGTTCAGTTTTAGTGAGGTGTTGATTGAACTCACACAGCCAGCTGTTTGTCAACCAGTTAGTCACTTTTCTTGCATTTACTCTTCTCTCACCGGGTAAACCCACATCATGTGTGGGGTTGTGTCCCATGTGGAGGTTCATCTACTACACATGAGACACAGCAGTCCTCCTCCACAGATAGTTGACCAGCACAATGGAACAGGCAGTGCCCAGTTTTCTGCGCAGTTCTTTGTCAGCTGGAGAACTTCACTGTGCACGATTACTGTTTATCATGCATGGTTTAGATGACAACAAGCTGAAAGAACTCTGAAAACAGGATGTTACCTGCGAATCATAACAACCAGCTGGAGCCAATAAATAAATAAATAAATAAATAAATCACTCCACCACTTCTCACTTGCTGATGTGGGTGTGTTGACACTTTCGAGGGCTCTGTGCTTATCGACTCACTACAAGCAATTATTAGCATTATTGTGTGAATAAGACACGCATCAGTTTCTCCAACAAGTTCAACATCTCTGTACCAAGCTACTCTTCTCTTTATATTATTCAGGGAGGGAACGATTCAATAATGGTTTTGTTATCCACTTATATTTATGTTCTTATTTGCATAAAAGTACAAAATGACTTCTGATCCCTCACATTTTAAATGCATCATGTGTCACTTCTGTACCGATTGCTTTCTCACTGTGCATCCCATAGATAATGAATGGACATCACATGTCCAGCAGGTCATCAGCCTCACACAGATGTCACCTGTGGATGCTTGATGGAGCCACCTCGAGAAATCCTGGACTGACTCTATTGTGAACAATCAAACTGTTTTGAAACTTTAGCAGCACACAGAGATTTTACTGAAGGGTGTAATATATGTATGATTCACAGCTCTAAAGCACAAATAACGCTGCTGTGAAGGTGTCTGTGTGCCTCGGGGTGTGAAGGATAAAGCTTAAAACAGAGCCCAAAACAGAGCCCTCAGGCAGCGCTGTGCTATACAAGTATAACTGTGTTTTCCATTTTCCCCTCATTCAGCACCTACTTAAAAAAAATACTAATTTGGATTGAACGACAGACACACTGAATCAATTGGGTGTCGGCCGAATGTGAGCAATTCACATTAAACACTGTTTCTTGGTCGTTGTCATAAAATGTGTTTTAGATCCATTCATTCAGGCACGACGGGCCACCATCTCAGTTTAAATCCTTTTACCGTAATCAAAATTAATCCAAGTTTCATGCAAATTATGAAAGAGAGACTTTATGTATTATAATTGTATTGATTGATAAAAGTTAGATATGTGCATCTCTAGATTTAATATCTTATAACTCTGTCAATTCAATGGTCAAACTCCACAAAGTGTCACCTGATGTCAAACCAACAATGATTTCTACATCATGGAGACAGGTGTATGGAGGCATTGACATCACCTGATTAACTGTAAATCCCCACACAAAAATATTTTAATAGTATATTTCCTTATTTCCTCCCTGATAACCTGGGTGTACCCCGCCTCCTCGCCTCGAGTGGATGCTAAACGTGGATGGATGGATGGATGTTCCCTTAATTTCCCCTCACTGATGTTTTAGGCCTTAGATGCTGGCCCTCCTGTAACACCACACATTAAACCGTGACGGGGACTAATCCCAACAACAATCATATTCATCGTATATTATCATGAGGATATAGACCTTAAATAAGTTAATTATAACAGATTAAAAGACGGCCTCGTCGACCTGAGCTGCCACCTCAAAGAACAGTCTGCGTCACCAAGAAAGGCAGCATCACAGCTTGATATGATATAACCAGGCTGATGGAGGTAGCTAGCTAGTTAGCATGACGAGCTAACGTCAGTGGTCAGCTCGGTGGAAACCTTCCCCCGCCTCTGCTCATCATTCCCCCGGCAGGTGTGTGAGCCGTGACCGACTCAGCTAACACCCATCGCCGTCATCTCTCGTGAGACAGACCACCATGTTTGTTGTTTCTAATATCGTGAGAATAGCTGAACATCTGTCTGAGCTTATTCGCTCGTTAGCGTTGTGACAGTAACGGTTTTAACAGTCGAGATGTCAGATGGAGGAGCTGGTGTAGTTACCGCTGAAGACCATGGCCGCAGAGGCTCCCATCACAGCGAAGAAAGGCGCGTACTCGGGGCTCTCCGCAGAAGACATTCTCGGCACTTTTCTCGGGGCGACAACAGCTACAAGGCAGACTATCTTCTTCTTTCTTTATTTAGGTTTCCTTTTTCCCTCCGTCAGCTTTTGGATAGGTTAAAACACTGAGCGGGGGGGAGACAACGTAGCTGCCAGCAAAGAGCACCGGTGTAGGAGAGGAAAATGGCGATACGGAAAGAGTCACATGACTAACCATCTCGGAACGATCCATTTGTGTGGACACGGGGGTGCTCGACACAAACAAAAGTCGAAATAACTAACCTTTGTTGTTGAATGCACCGTAAAGTATATTGTACAAATCATTCTCATTTGATTGCAATTTTTTTTACACGCACACCAGTTTGTAATACTACAATGTATTATATGAGTGGTTCGTACAGTGTGTAGGCTATAATATGGTATGTTCTGCTGCAAGTGTACTGACTGCAGTTGAAACGCTGGTTTACTACATGCTGGCGTATTTACTATAGGTTTTCAAGTAGATAGTCAAATCAACCAAAAACACCGTTTTTACTCTATAATTTAAAAAAATGAGTCAACAAATAAACAATAATATAGAGGCACAGTGTCCATAATATCCAGCATATAGCCACCCTCCTTTAAACCATGTGTATGTTGTAAAGGTTTTTTTTCATTGACAAGGAGAGGTCATTTTAAATCAACATTAGACTTCCTCTGAGACTCAAACACACTAAAGACTGTCTGACCTGGAGACACATCCGGAGTCTGCCTTTGTCAAGGTGACACTGTACAAACCTAATGTCAGCTATAACAACATGTCACCTCATAATTCACCTCGGGACATTCTTCTTTTGGGCAGATATTCTGTAAAGATTACATTTTTAATCACATCCTATTTTACCTTCTTTACACAGTTTAGTTTTTTTAAATGTGCTTTTCTCTCAGAGCATCCCCCAGTGAGTGTTGCTGACGATAAAAGTTTATCTGTATCGTTTTATATCCTAAGAACAGTTTTGGTTTGAAGGATGTTTTTTTTGTACAAGACAAACATGATCTTTGTCTTAGCTTTTAATAATCCATCTCTTTAAAAATATTCATGTACAGTTTGCACTTTTTGGATCATAATTACAATGATATAATCAACGGATAAAAACATTTAGTATAAAAGAGAGCCAGAGAGATTAAATCAAACATTACATAAAGTGACATCACTTACCCTCTCAACAGAAATGTGTTTACTTTTAATTTCACCACAACACAACTGTGTTGCCAATTTGCCTACTGAGCATCGGCCTTCAAAAAATTGGCTGTGCATAAATAAACAATTAAATTAGAGTGCTATCCTGCACCTGATGTCTGATCTTCGCCACAGCCACCTCTGGTTGAAGTGTCCTGGAGCAAGGCACTAAATCCTCACCCTGTCCACAGGTGGGGTCATCAACCAAACATAATAAATGAATGTAGGACTTATTTACTCACATATGAGTTATGATGAATTAATACATGCTTGGTGGAAATTTAAATTGACTTTTATGATCAATAAGCCAAACATTTTCTTCTGCCAAAAAGAAAATATATTGCAGTATATGTATATAGTATATAGTATATGCTGAGTTTTAATGACACTTCAGCTCCAACTCCTTCACAGGGCTTCTGAGGGGTTTTATAAATTCTTTAAGATGGGGTTTTATCAACTCCTCCATTTATTTTTTATTGTAATCTGGATGCTGTGGTGTAAATTCGAAGCCCCAAAACAGAACAGTACTCTGACGTTCCCCCAAGAATTTACTTTCTGTATACTGGGGTCAAAAACACCTTCACCACTTGGTCAACATGGACCATGCAGTGTCTGCCTCACTACAACATATTATTGAGGGTTAGAGAAGAAACAAATTAAATCAACCTCCCTCAGTGCTACTTGTATAAAGTTTCTCACTGCCTTTAGTTCAATTGTGTCTCGATAGTGTACTTAAATCTTACGCAGTCGAAAAATGTGCTGCACACACATGACTGTCAGCAGCCTCTCCACTGCATGTCATAAAGAAAAGCTATTCGCTCTGGTCAGAGCTCAATCATGTGACCTGCTCAGAGTTCAACAATCACTTCCTTACAGTAAGAAGGGAATATGTGGTGACTTTGTTAGTAGCGTATATAAAATTACTTTTGTTTGCTTTGCATCCAGTTTTAAAAACCTGAAACAAGTTCAATCATGTAAACGTTGCATCAAACAAACTGACGTGTGTTGCAATATGTGTTGTAAGCACACTCAATGCTAGATGTTGTGAAAAGTTACTATACACCACTTATACTTTTTGTAGTGTTCTATTTGAATTATGTGCATTTTTAAAGAAAAAAATCTTTTGGAATCAGACCCTGAGTGTTGTAAGTGTTGTAAGGTAGGCGAATGGAACCAGCAGTGATGTATAGTATATACACATGGAGGTATAACTTACTATTAAGTACCAGTATACCATTATACTAACAGTATCCACATCGCCATCTGTTGGCTGATTTACTGGCTGGCATCCTTGTCAAATTTCTCCCTCCCTATAAATGAGAGCTTCATACATGCTTAAACATGCTTTTTAATGATAAATTACAAACTGAAATTTAAGTTAAATTGATGCAGAAAGAACGATGATCAGTTCTCAAGTGTTGGAGATCAGGCTTGCATGTTGTCTTTATTACTTTTATTATCTTAATAATTAAAGTATGTGTGTGGGAATCAGATGCAAGATGACATAATAAGATATCACAAGCAAAAGAAAACTGACCGCAGGTTACAGACACACTGTATTTTAATGAAAGATTAGGTTAAAATAATACACATTTAATGAAAGAAGCAGACATTTAAAAAAAACAAAAAACATAATCACCATAAATATGCTACATAATCCTAACCACACTTTGCTCTAACACGATTGAGTAAATGCATCGGTAGGGCAGCTCCGTGTTAGGCTACACACACACACACACACACACACACACACACGTGGGATAGATCTCATCAGCATTGAGTAAAAGTGAAGATATCTCGACTGTGCAGCGGAAACTCTAGATGTGAACCCCAGGCTAATGCTTGACAACACCATCCGGCTAAAGACATCTCAACGCGCACGCACACACACACACACACACACACACACACACACACACACTCTAAAATGTATACCTACAAGCAGAAGACACTCATACCAGATTTAAGAATTCCTGCAGGAGACTTTTGTGGGCTTTAATTAACGTCACTAATTCAACATCCTGATTGCCTTTAGCTAAATATGAACAAGTGTTTCAGATCTTACCATAAAAACATGAATGTCACCGATAAAAAATAAAAAATAAACTCTTACTGCTTTAAGCATTCCCACCCTGTCATCACTCAGAAGTGATCTACAGGTGAAACAGGCCGATATACTTTACTCAGTTTGGGCCAGATTGGTCTAAATGTCCACCTTAAACTCAAAAAGATAACTGCATCCGATATGTAAGAAGGTCAGATTATTTGCAGTGGCCTCGTCCCCACACAGCGAGACTGTTTAGTGCTCATCACTCAAACACACGCTTTAAAATCCAACAAGCACTCCTGCCTGTGTGACTATGTCTCCCAGCCTTTCACACACACACACACACACACACACACACACACACACACACACACCCTGCACTCATTCAGTCCACGTTCCCAGCACAACCAGCAATCTGGATAGCAAGATCAGCAAATGTGTTGTTGTGGTGGTCGCTGGAAAAAAAACACGAAGAGCAGAAAAAGATACGGCATCACATGCTATTCTTTGCGAAGCCGCACGAAGTGAAAGTGTGACACGGCGATGGCTCGTACGCGGGATGAGGAAGCTACACTGGAACCCTTTTTAAGTCGAAGGGGGATGCAACCTTTGAAAACAAAGTCATGAAGAAAGATGAAAATGTCCTTCTCAGTCCCAGCCGTTGTCCTTTATCATGTGGGACAGCTCGATGATAAACTTCCCCTCCTTGTACTTCTGGCTCAGCTCAAAGGCTTGTTCCTGCAGAAGGGGAGGTGCAGAACGGTTATCAAGAAGTAGATTAAAGTAAAACCCAGGACTAGTCTCATTAAAGGACATGCAGACACTCTGAATGTGTCATTTACTTCAACTATAATACTATTTATTCATTTTTTCAAGGATGTATTTTTGCTAAATGATCACATGTAGCTTTGGCCAAATAAATAAAAGATATGTTTCCTCCAAAACCGTGTAACATATTACAATATGGTATAATATGAAACATTAGGTTGAGGAAATGTGTGCTTCACTCTGAAAACTACTGCCTATTAACCTTCCTCATGGAAATAAAAAAAACATCTGCAGCAACTTCATTAAAAGTGTAGAGAATAAGAAGTGGGTTAAAAGGTTACATAGTGGTATCTACAACGCTGATTACACATCCAGGTTACAAAAGGAACTATGACGGGACCACAAGAAATGTGATTAGTCAGCATGATCTGCCATTGTTTCTTCCCCAAAAGTTTCTGTTACAAGTGGAGATCGTTGATAATGAAGTATCACTATCAGTTTGATTCTGATTTTCAGTGACACACATTTAGCAAACCTTTTGCCTCCTTCACTCAAAAGTAAACAGTTGGGGAATAAAAGGTAAAGCAGAACACGGATCGGATGACTTGTGCTACATCCTGCTAATGGTACTGGGGAGCCATCAATGGGTGAAATCTGACGCTGAACTGTAAATCAAAACCTGCACCGGATATCTGTGGAACCATGTTAACCCCTTTGTTCAAACATTGTATTCACACGGACGTGCTTACATATTTCCAGCCCAGCGTGGTGTGACAGTTTTCACAGTAGATGTCGGCGACAGCGTGAAGTCCTGTGAGCAGCAGCCTCTCCTCCGCAGGACCACAGCCGACGTTCACTCTGAAACCAAAACGCAGGGTTGTCAAACAGCAGCTCCTCTCTGAGCCACAGTAATTAAACTACTCTCATTACCCTGTAAACCAGTAAAGGACCTACTGTCCTATATTGCTTTTTTTTTTAAAGGGAAAAAAAAGACTAAGGTTCATGAAACAGTCATGGGGAGGATGACTTTCCATGAAACCATTTAGAACAGAGCTTCACTAAAACAGATGATCAGCATCTATTTGATGCAAACCTTGAAGTTAGATTAAGTGCTCGAGTTATTTAAAAGGCATTTTAGGGTCAGAGCCTGTGTATTTCTGACCCACTAACCCAGAAGTAGCGTGACTAAAGTGAACTTCACTCGAGAGAAAATCAAATTATCTGTTGGCAATGTGGTTTGTGCAAACATGTTTGATACTGGGACTTTGTTTTCATGGACAACTTGACTATTGAAATGATACGCTGGGAAAACAAAGATCATAAGTCACCAATTTATTTTTGTTTTTATAAAACACACAAAAATAGTTGATCTAATACCAACACTAATCTGAAAACATTTGATAACAAAGTAGTAAATAGAAAGAAACATTAAAAGAAAGTACATTTTAAAACTGAAGTCACTTTTTACCCCTTTTACACAGTGATTATGGAGATGAAAAACAAGATTGGAAACCTAATATATGAATAGCCTTAGCTACTTTTCTACATACGTTGTGCTAACGTGTAGTAATATTTAAAAACAAAATACTCACACAGAGTTGAAGAGGTAGGCTCGGCCTTGACTGCCTTGGAAAGACTAAGAAACAAGGATGAACAACAAAATAAGAGGAGAAAAATGCTTCATGTGTCCACAAACAACATACTATGAAATATACTTTTTTTTTTTATGAAATTCCAAAATGTCTACAAACTTTGTGATATTTCTCTTTGTATTAGGTCAGTCCAGTTTTTCCAGTTTACTTTGTAAACTACGTGAGAGTCATTGGGCGGTGCCATGCACCACCTGAAAGGATCACTCACAACAGAGCGGCAGCATACCAACCTTGGAGATGAGATCGTCATGGTTTGCCAGATGGGCGCGACAATGCACACAGCTGTAGCGACGGTGGCACGAGTCCAGATACGCCTGGAACGTCTTGGCCTTTGTCAGCTTCACCATGTCTGAGGAAGAAGGAGGCAAGGATATTAGACACAGGCAGGTTTTACATCAGCTTTTAACACACCTGATAATAGCAATACAAGGCTTTCACCCGACATAACCCGACCTAAATGATAATAAACTGAGGCTGGAACTGACCAGACATTCATTCTGACAATCAATATTTACCAATGATTTGCTGGTTGCAGCTTTACAAATACTTTGCAGGCGTTTGTCTTTACTTCATATGATAATGTTTAGTGAAGTGCATATTAATAAAAGACATTATAGAGACAAAACTCTGGGCTCAGGCACCTGCTGACTTCGACACTTTATTGACCAAGTTAATCGATTAAAAACGACAAAGAGGATGATAAGATAGGAAGCAAGTATTAGGACATACTAAGTCAAGTTCAAATCAAAATGATAAGATTGGATTTATGACCTCATAACTTTTACGTCGTATCTCATTATTGTAATATAAAAATATAAATAAAAATATTTAAAAAAA